TCCGTCTTTATTGCTCGTTCATTTCCGTGTCCAAGCTACCTTAACACTTTACCACTAGGCATCATGACCCATGTCTGTGACCTCTCACAGTAAAATGCTAGTTTTCTTAAAAATTTAGATATTATGATATAGTATAATTGTCATGAAAGATATTTTTAGATTTTAGGATTATTCAACCAAAAGCGTACTGACAATAAATGTACTTAAATGTACACATATTCAGAAACCGAGCTACTGCAACTAAGCTACAGACAAAAGCTGCAGGCAGTATGGAGGCATGTGTCCTGTACTTTAAACTTAAATATCAGTGGGCTTGTCTCTGTTGAAGCAGACAGGTGTATTGACATATGACAGATGTCTTTGTCCATCACTTCCTCCAACACACTGAACTGAACTGATGACATAGTTAGAGCCACTTAAAACATGAAAATTATGAGAAATGATTAAACTTGGAGGTTGTCCAAAAAGCACTAATATTCAGATGGAAGTTTGAGCAGAAAACCTGAATGAGTCCTTACAGAAAAAATGAATGGTGGCACAGTTGGAAAAGAATTTAAAGTATGTAGGAAGATTTGATAACAGCAGACCTGCAGGATGTGGCCATCAGGTGTGACATTTAAAAGGCTGCTGTCCTCCTCCTACAGGAAACAATCAGGGCAAACAGACAATCAAATAACAATAATCCTAAAACTTCAAAACCTGCTGAAGCTAAATATTTGGTGTTGGCTGAGTTGCTTTACCTTTGAGACGGCATATATGGCCCATGGAGGCAGTATGTGATCTCTCAGTGGTCCACAATCACAGGACGATAAGCCAGAGAAAACACACTCATCATGCCGCTTAAAAGGAAACAAGACTCAGTCAATAAAGGATTCATAAGTCATGTATTACTGTACACAAACGCAATCCTCACCATCTCCTTGCACCACACGCAGCGCCTCCCCGCTAAAGTTTTAATCTTCTTGTTGCAGACCTGACACTTGGCGGAGCTGCAGTCAGCTCTGATCCAGTCGTGAGCTGCTACCTGAGACACAGAGAGGCAGGAAAAAGAAGGACTGTCTTGTTAAGGGTTAATTTTTTTTTTTTTTACTGTTTTCACATCCACTGAAGTCACTGCAGCACCTGGCATTGTTTGCACATGTTCCTCTATTCTGCTTCTAATGTCTACACAAGTCTTAAAATGCTATCCAGCTCCAGCCACAGAAATAATTTTCATGTTCACTCCTGTGGTGCAAATGCAACAATCCAGTCCTGAATCACTGCAGAGAAAACGATGTCCACATGCACAAAATCAGCACAGACTACACTTCTCCAGATCAACGCTGTAAGTTACGGACAGCTTCAGATTTACAGCTTTTTGGCTAACTATTGACTTGGCAGACATGCATCACGAGATCAAATATCCTTTAAGCACACCGGCACCTCAGACGTTCCAAAGCAGCTGGACATTTTTTGGCGGCTCACTGTTGTGATCCATTACAGAACGTGTGAATCACTGAGTGGCCGTGTTGACACTGCACCAGAAAAAGACATAGAACAGGTCATTGTCTATGCTTGTGCAAAATTAGGACATTTAACGAATGTACAGGTCAGACTGCGCCAGCTGTAATCATCAATCTAAAAAAAACACACTGATGTGCTGCACATATTACTGACTATTGTACCGTAATGTTCCCTGCTGTTAATGTGTTTACTGTGACTGCCTTTTGGTTTTTGTTTTGGTCAGGAAAAAGAGAACTGTCATGAGTGTACAGTTTTCTCTTAGAGCCATAGTAAATAAAACTCAAAGGCTCAAATCAAGGGAAGGAGCTGGGAACGAAGAGGGACGGTTGTGCTACTTACACCAATCTCCTTTTTAGACTTGACAAAGGTACGAGCACACAACTCTGGATTCTTGTTGGCACACTGGCTGTGGACTGTGTACTTGCAACCTGACGGAGGAAAAACGGACCAATATTAGCCTACATAAGTGACCATTACAAATATTCTTATTTATAGAAAACTGCAGTAACACTCAAAATAGCAAAGAGTAGAGTAGTATGTAAGTGGATGTGAAAATGATTTGTCTTCTCAAGCAAATTTGTGCTCCGTGTGAGGGACATGTCTGCCTCCTGGTGGTGGCTGTGAGCTCTCACATGTGCAGCAGAGCCCCTGCTTCCTGAGGCCAAGCAGCATGCCCTGACACACACAACAGTAGGTCGGCTTGTTGTAATGCTTCATCCTCCAGATATGCTGCCCATCCCTCTCCGTCATCTGAGGGGGACAGGAAGAGAAAAATCACAAAAAAATTATAAATCAAGGGAAAACAGGAACTATGCAGATCACACCAAGAATAAAGAAAAAAAGGTGCTGTCCTTAAGATGTTGTATAGATTTGGTTCATTTGAAGCTGTTTTTCACCTTCAGCCCAAGTAGAACAAGTAAAGGCACATTATTCATGCCTCCTTTCACCCACTCCTCCAGAGTGACCGTCCCACTGTCATCCACATCGATCGCCGCCATCATGTCTTTCAAAACCTGCCCAATCACACAAACATCTGTTGATTATTTATCATCCACATTATTGAATATCAAGTAACCCGAAGCATTTGTTGTGTTCATAAAATCCCAAAGCTCTCTGCTGCAGTAGTGAAGCTCCTTTTCTGTTATAAGGCGGCCCTTCCTAAATGTCAACAAATATAAGGTTTCCAGAATCTTTCCTGAAATAGCAAACAATTTTGTGATAGAACTAAAAATCAGGAACACTTAAAAATTTTGAAGAATTGAAAAGGAGGCTCGTACTGGTCTGAGTTCAGTCACATCCCAACCCAGGTAATCAGCAGCGCGCATCATCTGGTTGATTATACGATCCACTTCCTGATGGAGAGACAACAGTTTATAGCTTATGTTCAAAGTAAACTTCTAATTTAATCAATTATTGGTTTCATTTTTGTGATATACAACTGATATTATTTGATAGATAGATACGTTTTTTTCCCCCTTTTGGATAAATAAGGACTTATATTTTGTTTACAGGGAAACACGTTTCCAGACTGTGTACATGACAATAAATACTTTGACCTTGACCAATTTTCATGAAATTAATGACGAAGTATTCTGAATAAAACCATATGAATGAAACATACCTAGATCTAGCAACTAAACAGTAGATTTGATTTGTATTTATTTTTTTTACATTTTGCAGAACTAATTGCAAACAATAATTGTGCACATATAAACAAAATCATCCTACAAATTTTGTGAATGTACACACACACACACACCATTACTACACAAACCTATCAGTGATTTGGGGTAACTCACAGAACTGTCCAGGAGTCCGTTGCAGTCTTTGTCATAAAGTCTGAAAGTAACTAGAAACACAGAAAATCACTGATCTGACCATCGCCCACCTTCTCAGACCTTCCAAATGATCAGTCCTAATGAATGTTTATAAAAGGCAGTTGCACAATAATAAACATGTCACCAAATGTTCAAGATGTCAATGAAACCAACATTCGAGCTTCTCCCGTGGCTGTCCTTCCTCCAGCACAGAGAAGTAGCAGGACACGTCACGAAGAGAGACCCCGTCTGAAAATAAAGGAATAAACCTTTTGACGAAACTGGAAACCACTACATTACTAAGATCTACATAAATGTTTTTATTTTATTTTCACATTTTTTGATTTTATATTATTATTATTTTAAGTTTCTAATGGAAATGTAGCACTGGGGTATAAAGTCAAAGTAAATATTTTATCATAGGTTGGTTACTGGAACAGTAACCTACTACCCCTATGGCCTCACTCCTGTGACACAACACTACAGTATGAAAGAAACAAACAGGTCAGCAATGGACAATGGGTCTAACAGGAAATATTCTTTTTAGCATTTTTCTTTAAATTCTGAGGTGTAGTCCTAATCTTTCTCTGAACTAAGCATGACTGTAGAACTCATCCTGCTCAGACATGCAAAGGGATTCACCTCGTTTGTCCTGAGGGCTTGTTGCGTTCCCGTCCTGGTCCATATGTTGAAAATAACGATAAAGGCGTTGGCAGAAATCTGACGGGAAGTCATCCACCTCTAGATAGGTCTTGAGAAATAGAGAGAAACCCACTGCATCGATGCGCTGAGGAGAGAGACCAAACTTAGTGTCAGAGGAGACGTAGGGTTTATTTATTGGAAATCCTTTATGTTATGGATCAATTACTTTGATCAGTTTGCCTAATAATTTTCTGGGAGATTACAGTAATAGTGTAGAAGATTAAATGAATAATATACCAACATTTACTTGTGTTTACAAGGAGATTTTGTTTTGACGAATTCCCTACCTTCTCTACAAATGGTTTCAAATTTTAGGATAATTTCCAGGAAACATTGTTTACATTTGAAATTTTTAGAAATTACGAACCCATATAATAAAATGTTAACACATCATTAACTCATGGCTCACAGTTCAGAAGCGATCTGTCCACATGACTGACCTCTCCAAAACTGTGCTGGGCAAACCGACCACGGGGCTGAAAGTCCTTAACCACATCTTTCACTCTCAAGCTGCCGTCTGCAAGAAGAACGTCCGATCAAAAAGGTAACAAATGAACAGAGCAAAAAGGACACAAGAAAAATATCGATTGCCTGAACACTGATATAATTTGTGCGATTTCTTTCTGCTTCAAATGTGATTGATGAAAAAAGTCGATGAAAAACATATAATAAAGACTGAGAAAAGAAAAGATTGGTGATTATTTCAGTTCTTTGTGTATTTGCCCTTTGCCCCATCACTAATTGTGGACATGGACGTACTGTGTGTCTCCTACATTAAACTCAGTTTTGGGTCTTGTTCTCAGAGGTACCACACAGTAAAGCTTTTCTCGGGTTCAGAGGAGAGCGGATGTAACTATCCATTTATCCATTAATCAACGTGCACATACTTTCCGACTCAACACTAAAAGCACATGGAACTATTTCATTTCTTTCAAAACCTCAAAGCATAAACTCAGTCCCATACAACTTTTTCTTTCCTGTCAACAGGTCAATCGAATTCCACATTAGCAGCAGAGCATGAGCGACAGCATGTTTCCATTTTGTAGTTGTTGTTTATGGTTTTGTTGTCGACGCTAGATGATTCTCTAGAGAATGTTGTAGAGTGTTGTTGAGTCGATGGAACTTCCTCAGTCGTTTATTTTATGATGTTGTTGTCCGGCACTTATTGACTACAGTTGCTTTCACTGATTGTATAATATAGATCTCCCCGAGGAGAGTTTCAAGTTTGAAAGTAACTGGAAACACATTAAAGTAAATCAGTGATCCAGCAAGAACAAGAAAAGTTTGCACACAGTCACAGTGCACTGTTTGAGTTGACTCTTTCAGTTTACAGCAGTAGAAAGCACAGATGTTTAGGAATTCGAGTGAAAAAATTTATTCTAAGAGCATCCTGACTTATTTGTAGGTGTGAACATTTACTTCAGTAAACATATTTACTTAGCATACTAAAATACATTTTTATAATTCGATTACAAAATGCAAAGCAGTATTCTTTACACTTATTCAGTGGATAACAGCAGATCGTCCTATAATAAACATTTTGCCCTGCTCTGTTGCAAGGACGGTGAGTTACAACAAAAAGTACCCCTTCAGCTGATCACTTTACCGGTTACGTGCTCTGTTAACATGTCATTAATATAAGTTTATGGTTGAAATAATGCAAAGTAAAAAAAAGTGAAACTTACACTCCATGTAATACTGCAGCTGGATAAAGTCGACAGAAGTCAGACACCCTTCTGTATCATCAGAGGAGGCCATGCTGATCAGCTGAATAAGCAAAGGGAAAGCACATTGACACAGGTGGCTAGGATGAAAACACGCCCTGAATGAACTGCTAGACTTGAAAGAGGTTGCATCTAACAAATCTCAGGTGATGTATTGTTTTGGCAGCAGCTCAATGACCCGGTTTGCCTCCATTCCTTGGATTACACACACCAGTTGTAAGTGAAACATGTCTCTATTAAAGGAGAATGATCAAGCACAGAGCTCTGTGTTCAGATATCCAGACAGTACAAAACAACTGTAGAATTAAAATCAAATCCAATGTACACGTTCAGTTAATTTAGGAGATATTATAACGCAGATAACAAGAACTGACAAGATGAGGAGTTTGCCCACAAAGTAATAAGAGGCTGTATTCTGCAGAAGTCAAGCCTCCAAGGGTGGACTATTAACTGTCACCAACAGATAACTATGAAAATTAATTTAACACTAGTGTGTAGAGCCACTGACTGTGCAGGTGAATGTGTCTAGCTGTATTCTCTTCACAAGTCTCCTGGCCCACAAGAACTACTCTGTAACATCCCATCAGTTTAACCAGCACCATTCTGTACAACTCACTCTGGCAAAGTAATTCAGATTAAAACGCGCATCCATCAAACAGGATTATAATCTGAAACGAGGGTGACTGGCAAACACCACTTTTAAGTCATTCTAGTCTCTAAGCGCTGCCTAGGTGTTCAGCCGCCCAGACAGCGAAAGGACTGAAGCTGAACCCTCCACGACTCCTTACCTCGTCTCCCTCGCCTCACACGTCAACAGAAACCGTCCCAAACACGGAGTTCCACAACACGGAACTTTGATATGTTTGCTGACAGCAGCTCGTACTTGTGAGTAAATGTCTGCCCGGTATTAGAGGATATAAAGGCTTAAGAATGAACAGAGGAGGAGCTTTTCAGCCACATAATTATAGTTAGTGGCACCACCTCGCGCGCGCACACCCAAATGCAATAGGCGCGCGCAGGCACGCATACTTGTTTCAACATGTCAGCTCATTTTCACTTGAAACCTGAAAATCGAAATGAGGCTCTGTTCTCCCTCTGTAGAACAAATGTGCAGACTAGGCCTTAAAAGTCTAAATAATATCAAATAACTTGTGGCATTTGTTGTTTTAATTCTGCAATTTGTAAGGGTCAGTCAGATGTTTTCTTCTGCCAATAAAGACAACTAAATGAGGCTAAAATTGGAACAGAAAATTGTAAAAGAGGGGCTGACATCTATAGTTCAAAATAGATAAGACATACTGAGACAGTGAATGTAAATGAATTAAAAGATAAAATCCCACAGAGAGGACTGAGTGGCAGGTCCAAGGTCTTGTAAGGCAGTGACATAGTAGGGACTAGGAAGCTAGTAAATAATTAGAAACAGTTCATATAGAACTAACACCATCAACAAGCTGTGTCCTACTGGAGGGGCAACAATTAACATAGGCTACTATCTGCCATAGAAAACATTCATTTTCTACCGCTTAGTCCCTGAACGAGGTCACGGAGCCAATCCCGGCAATCGGGCGAAGGCGGGGTTGCCAATCCATCGCAGGGCTAACACATAGACGAACAACCACACACACGCACTCCTATGGGCAATTTAGAGACACCAATCAACCTAAGCTGCATGTCTTTGGACTGTGGGAGGAAGCTGGAGTACCCGGAGAGAACCCACGCAAGCACGGGGAGAACATGCAAACTCCACACAGAAAGGTCCCAGGTGGGGCCCGAACCCGGAACCACTGTGCCACCGTGCTGCCCCCATAGAAAACAGATTCAATCGAATCAAATTATAAACACATGAAAGGGGTATTTCCACTTTTCTAACACTACAACAAAAATGCCAAATGTTCAATCTGCAGTCAGATGTGACAAAGAAAGGCAGAAAATGATATATACATATCTGTGTTCCTTCTTGAGACTGTAAATGACACACATAGCCTATGTCTTTTGGATATAAAGGTTATAGACTCCTGCAAAACTCAAAAAAGAAAGGCATGATATCGAGGTAATTACTGAAAATTTAGGATGGAATATTAATTAAAACAGTGGTTCGATTACCAAAATAGTGGTTGATTAATTTTCTGTCAACCGACTAAATGACACGTCAGGCCTCTTCGTTCAGACAGTGGGAGGCGGTAACGCGCTTCGGTTACAGTTGACAGCTGCACATAATGTGTAGCAGAGGAAGAAGCAGTTCACGCAGGTGTTTACGTTTTTGTACTTCCGTAGCTCCCTAAAGTGGAATAACGTTACCGATCTGACGTTAAGTCAATTATTTCACAAGAATCTATTGACCATGTTTCATATCAACGTTAGTGTGAGAAAAGCTTAGCAGATTAGTATGATTAGGGTCGTTTGCTGCCCGGTATAGGTTCTGTGTAACGAGTATTCCTCATCATTCATCGCAACCAAAGCTAAAGCTAACGGTGCGTTAGCAGCGGGTCGCCGGGATTGGACAAATTTGATAAATCATCACCTGAACCGCACTTTGCCCACTGTTAACTTAGTTATCAAGGAAGGCAGTCATGGCCACTAGGCGTCTGACCGATGCCTTCTTGTTAATGCGGAACAATGCAATCCAAAACCGGCAGATATTGGCTGAGCAAGTGAGTACATACGAGCCCCGTCTGAGTACACGTAGCAATGCTACGGTGAGTGGTCTGCATCGTTTTGACATTTTACTGTGTGTGTTTGCATATAGCCAGAGATCTGTTAGCTAGGTACAGCTGTGTGCCAATAGCTGCTATTCAGGAACATTTAATGTGCCCCCTCCATTTCATCTCAGGACCGATTAACTGATGTGACACATTGATGCGATGGAGGAGGAAGAGCAGGGGTGTGCAGCCCCATTTTCAGATGCTAAATGTAAACAGTGGTAATAAAACTACTTTAATATTAGTCTGCACTACTGTCATTGCTCAGAGAAAAAGAAAGGAGTAACAAGAATAAATATGTCAGTGTTTATCGAGCGGGGTATTATAAAAATGACATTTTCATAATATTCATATTTACTCCTCCTCACTAGTAAAAAGTACTGTGCCACATCATCTTTTGATCTATTCCAGATCAAACTCTTGAATAAAAGTGAGCAATATGGATAAAATATTCTGTCACAACAGATTATATATTGTGATGTTGATGTTAGTAAATGTTCTGGAAGATCATTCGAAAGTGTTAAACAGGTTGACAGTAATGTCTGTTTTGGGCTAATCCAATAAATTAGGTGTCTGACAAATCATAGTACTTCATGACATTGATGCTGGAAATGTATAGTATAGAGATCCAGTGTCACAATTTCACATTCTGCTTGTTGACTTGCAGCATGCTGTGGTTTAACACGTTTTTTTCCCCTGGACATAATGAAGCTGATGTAGTCAAGCCTCCCAAATCCTGACAGCTGATGCAGCAGGCACCGTAATTACTTAAATAGCATTGATAAAGACTACAAGTCTTATTTTATTTGATAAAAGGATATTATTGATTATGTTTGCAGAAGGGAGCTTTGTTTCTGATTAGGTGACCCACCTCCCACTTTCAAACAGTCCAGAAAACCCTGCCTAATATCCCCAGAGCCATTGTACCCCTTCTCATGCTTGTCAGCAAAATCTCTCATGTTTGACAAATCATCCTATGGGATATTCTGTCACACTGTCCTACCCAACATTAGAATGTAGCAGGTTAGCTCCTGTACTTATAATTATATAAGTGCATGACACACTTTGAGGCAAAGAGAGTGGGAAAAGGTTGAAACAGACTCTTGACCAGGATGAGCAATCACTCCTCCTAACCTCACATTTTTTTCTGAAAAGCCCTTTGTTACCCTACCATCCCAGATGGCACAGTGTACAGAGAAAAGTAGCCTGGAAAAGGTTCATCCTTCAGTGACACCTATGATTTCAACTAATGGCCAGCTCTACAGAGCAGAGACGAGAGGAGTGATGGTGATGGCCCCTGGGTGGACATTGTCTCTTAATGCTTTGTACTAGAGCGGTGTGCTGGGGTTATCCTCACTGCACCGCACTGGGAGTATCAGCGAGTAAGGAAAACCCATAGTGATGCTGTTGCCTGGTTCTCCAGAGCTGGGAATATTGTGTCATGAGTGATTCATGCCTGAGGGTGCATCTGCAGTGTTCCTGCAGGTGAATTGCTCATACATTTGTCTGTCATTTTTCATAGTGAGATAAAAATCAGTAAGTCTCCAGCATTTTCCCACAGAATAATAACAGTTATTATGGATGAGCCCAGTATTTGGCTTTTGATAATTCAACATCCCTGACTCATTGGTTGATAGTTGTTGTGTACATCCGGGATCCTGTTTATTGATCTCAGTTCTGTGCAAAACATCATTCTACATAGAAAAATAGCATTAACTCTCTGGTAATTGTGCCATTGACAGTTTACAATTGATGGGCAAAATGTCACATTTATCCATTTAATATTGCATCTACAACACGAGTGTGAAGAAAGTAGAGGCATCTGAATACTTTATGAAGCCACTGTATATAACCACCTGACAGAGTGGAGAAGTGGCTTTTGCCCAAACAGTCTCCATCACGTTGCTGTTAGCGGTCAGTGGCCTTAAAGGTCCTCTAAATTTCAACCACTAGTCTAGTGAGACTACATACGCGCACCAGAAACCACTCTTTGCCTCTCCCATCCTGTTTCCTGAGGCTGTGATGTGAACTGTGGAGCATTTTCTTGCTCTAAGCAATATGCCTCTTTCATTTTAGCACAGTTGCATATACATATTTACATATGCACAGGCTGAATTATATTCCCACTGTTTAAACTGCAGTGACTCAATTTAAAACAACTGTGTTACCAGACTTTATGCATGTCTGCCATTTACCATAATCACAATTTTATCTCAAAGCAATTACATTGTTGGTGGAGGTGGATCTAAAAACTCCTGTGTGGTGTTCACTGCTGACTGGCTCACTTTCTGTTACTTCTGTCTTTCTCCCCTTTCTCCTGTTCTCTATGGGATGGGACCGCTCTGCTCTCTGCCAATCATATTAGGAGCTTGATGAGGTACTGTTGATTTATAGCCCAGTAGACTCAAAATGGCACAGCCTTGTCATCATTATATACAATGTTTTAACAGCGTTATTTATTTTTGTTCTTAAGTTGGCTGATGATCAAATGGCCCTGGTGTCTGGGATCAGTCTGGATCCTGAAGCTGCAATTGGAGTCACCAAAAAACTGCCCCCCAAATGGGTAGAGCGGGTTGATGAGGTAAGTATGGAGATAAATGTGTGTGCACTCTTACAATGTTGCTGAAAAGAAATGCAGCGACTAAATAACTACATTCAACCAGGAGACGTATTCAGAAGCAAACCAGTCATTCCACCAACAGTTTGTATACAAAGAAAGGCTTTTAACTGTGAATTGTCACCTCTCAGATCCAGTATGAAATCACACGGGTACGGCAGAAGATGAAGGATCTGGCCATACTTCATGACAAGCACATGAATCGTCCCACACTGGATGACAGTAGTGAAGAAGAGCATGCTATAGAGATCACTACTCAGGAGATCACACAGGTATATTACCTTTACTGTTTAGTAATTGAGATAATGCACTCACTTTTAGATAGTAAAAGTGCACACCTTTAAGTATTTCTCTATTGCAAACGCTGAAATGTTTAGTATGTTTTCAGTTATTTTTAATTGGCAGATGTTATTTGAGCACAAAGTCATACGAGCATAATATAGCATTGATGCTCTATCCACTGACTGTCTTAGGTAGCGGACATGGACACATCTGAGAGTAACTAATAGGCAAGAGTGTGAAACAAATTTAGAAATGAAAGGTGATTTGCTGTTCACTGCAGATGTTCCACCGATGCCAGCGAGTGGTGACAGGTCTGCAGGCCCGCTGTGGCCACTGCACCGAGCAGGAGGAGCGACTGTTGAGAAATGTGGTGTCGTCTCTGGCACAGAGCCTGCAGGAGCTGTCCACCAGCTTCAGGCACACACAGTCCAGCTACCTAAAACGTAATAACTATAGTAAACCTGGGATCGGTTTTCCTATGTTCTCATTCCTACTCAAATATTTGTACTATTAACAGCGTTATATCTTATATTTTTCACCTTGATGTTGTTTTGCTGCCATCTCACCTTCGTATAATTGCTCTGTCTGGCAGGTATGAAGAACCGTGAGGAAAGATCAAAGCACTTTTTTGACTCGGGACCCCTAATGGAAGAGGATGAAGATTTAGCTCTATATGAAAAGGTGAGTGGCTTTTTATATTTTAATCATTTGTCCAGGTGAATCCAGTAAAGGGCTGGTGCATACCCTCATGAGTACATAGACATGGACACAGGTGAGGGAAGAGCATGTGTTCCTAATCATACTTCAGATTGAGGGTCTGCCTTCTGTCCATGTACGCCGATGATGTCCAAGCATTGCGGTACATGTGCATTCAGGGCTGTTGCTGTGCAGAGCGTCTGTGTGGACACAAACTTTTGGCCTGCACGCAGATTTCCTCACAAAGTCTGCACGGACCCTCACAGACCTGAAAAGATGATAAAAATTGTCACTCACTCACTCAACCATAGCAGGGCATGCAGACATGCAAAGCATGAAAAGCCCTTGAGAGCTAGACCACCTTTTATGCACAAGTCTCCTGTGTGTATATAGTGCAATAACAGCAGAAATATCACAATTTACAATCATGAGTACAAACCAGATAAGAAATACACTTTGTTAGTTGTTAGGTGCAATAATAATTGTGTTACTATAAAATAACCTACATTTCTTCTTCCTTAACTTTCTTTCAGGGGTTCACAGACGATCAGCTGATGCTGGTGGAGCAGAACACAGTTATGGTAGAAGAACGAGAGCGTGAGATCAGACAAATCGTCCAGTCCATCTCAGATCTGAACGAGGTTTTCCGGGACCTGGCTGGGATGGTGGTGGAACAGGTATCCAAAGCAGCCCCGACACTGACACGCAGGATTAAATACCTGTCTGTTCAAAGTCGGAAGAAACCAATGAAATAAGACACAATACTGCACAGATACAAGTGTGCGGGTGTTAAATAAACAACTTCGAAGATGTAAACCATCTAGCATATTAACATATTTTACTTTTTGCTTTTGATCAGAAGTGTGAAGGACTAAACACTTAAAAATGAATTGCACTTCAAGTCAAAGAAAGCCCAAATAAGACAGGTGTTTCGCAGCACTGTAACAAACTGCTAATACATAAAACTATCTGTATGAAAAATCTAGAAATAAAATTTAATGGAAAATATACTTCATGTCCTTCATTTCTCTTTAAGGGGACCGTTCTTGACAGAATCGACTATAATGTGGAGCAGGCTTGTGTTAAAACAGAAGATGGAATGAAACAGTTGCAAAAGGTAAACACAGAATGCTCGTGTCTACATGTGACTGTGTGTTTTATCTCACTGCTTTTTGTTAGGTGACTTAAAAGTGCACTGTAAAAATTGTCGTTCAGGATTTATATATACATATTCTATATTATATGTATATGTCATAAACAACAGGAAAATTTAAAAAGGCATCTTTCAGTGGGCTAAAGATGTTACAATCGTTTTGTCCTGTCATGTAAAATTAGACATATCTACAAACCTTTGCAGTTAAACATAAATTGTTGCATACCAGTAATGTCATCACATTGAAAGTGTGTGAAATACAATATTTGACATTGTTGTCATTGTCTTTGCAGGCAGAACAGTACCAGAAGAAAAACAGAAAGATGCTGGTCATTTTGATTCTCTTCGTCATAGTCATTGTTCTAATCGTTATTCTTTTTGGAACAAAGTTTTAATTGTACATTCCTCTGGCTTTTGTTTTTTTGTGTGTGTGTTTGTTGTGCATCTGCATGGATTTGGGAGTCGGTCTCGGTTCTACTTAAAACAAAGTTGGCTGCTTTTCATACCCACCAGGAAATGTCAAGAAGAGTTCCATGTCTCTCTGCAGGTACACGCCATGTTATGTGGAGATGTTTTGTGGTTGATTTTAATGGATGAAACTATCAAGAGTCAGTTTGAGATGTGGCTGTCTCACTTCCACATAGCTAAGACTCTGTGACAAAGGTCTGTCAGACCCAACCATGTTGAGATATTTGTGTCTTAGCAAAAAAACAAACATTGTTTTATAAAAATCAACTACTGATATTAACTTGCTAAAGAAGATGGTTCTTGGTTTGAACTCTAAACACGAACTGTGATGTTCATTGTGTGAAGATGCATAATTTCTGCTCAATATCACTGCAAACATTTTGTTTCTGTGAGATGAAGAGTGCAAATTTGTTGAAGAGATGCAGTAGAAATCATTTTGCTACAAAGTAATTTTCATCTCAGCATTTATGTCCTGGCTCAGTGTTTTATCCCAAAGGATGAGAAAATGTATTCATGCAGCACCAGATAAGATTCCAATAGTTATTCAGGGCCAAAAATATTCCTTTGACCTAAGGTTTAAGGACTGTTTTTTGTTTGTTTTTGTTTTTTACTCCCACTTTAATAACGGTGAGGTCCTTGTTACTCCAATGTTGGCCCAAGGAGGGTGTGGACATCCAATTGATCCGGTTATTTTTAAATCATACCTCTACTACACTTTTCACAAAATGCTCATTGTAAAACACTTTCCATAGTCCTTGCATAAATTGCTGCCTTTTTAAAACTCTTGCAGTTTGCACATATTGATGCCTGAGGGGGAGGGGTTTGTGTCTATAGATGTAATACTACTGTTATCTGTATGATGAAAAGAATTATTTATTTTTTAATAACTTCAGATAAATCAGAGGTGTTCTGTCTCTGGCAGAACCTACTGTTCTTTGAGTAAAGTCTATTTGAAGTCTGAACAGTTAGTGTCCTCTCCACTGAGGAAACTGATGTAGTACAGCACAAGCAGACATATGAAGACAGCATTGTGATTTTTTTTTTTTCCCTTTTCAGTTTGGACACACTACATTTTAGTTGGCTGTGTTGGAAACTCTACATGTTCTTGTGTCCTGTATAGACTGAGAAGCTGCAATGATGAAGAGCTTTATTTCACGTATCAGTAATCGACTCGACAATTTGTACACCTGTTAAATGATCTTTGTCATTGATGTGAAGTTGTGTGTCAAAAAAATGATTATGTCCTTGTGGTACTCCTAGATTTGTTATCCGCACAACATGGGTAAGGGGACAGCAACTTTTTTTTTTTTTAATAAACCTGGAACATAATGATGATTTGTGTGTTTTAAACTGCAGCGCTGATAGTGTGTTTTCTACCCATGGTCTTCTGCAACTAGCACATCATGTATGTGGTGACATGCCTAATATGAGATGTACCTACTCTTCAGCTCTAAGTCAGTTAATGGACAGAGATGAAACAATTATTCAATTAATGGATTAGTGTAAGGCGTGTTCTTTTTTATATTGAAAAGAGAAGACTAATAAGAGAATATATATATTTCACAGTGTGAAATTTATTATGCATTAATGTATCAAAATTAGCATGTGCACATGGATCGTTACGGTTTAGGATAAACAGAAAAGACTGACCTCAACTTAGTGGTATACAATATTTGTATGAAAAGGTACTACTATCTAATTGGTAAAAAAGAAGCCGTGGTTTAAACTTAACTTTCCCGTTATTGGTCCTTCAGTCCATCTGTCCTCCAGTCATCCTCTCTGCTCCAATCATCGTGGACAGCGCCCTAGGAAGGGGAAGAATACCTATACTACTATAATTCCTACATACACACTCACTTCTTCCTTTGGTTTCAACTAACTGCTCCATATTACGCATTGCTTTCCGTTTCACTTAATTAAAACTGTTCTGCCTGCGTGTGTGTGTGCATAACTGTTCTCCCTTT